CACACGTCATTGTCCATCCATGCCTTGGGTTGTACTGCGTAGACATGGCCAGCGGGATACGTTGGCAGTTCGTTGGTTGCGATCTGACCGCCGGGTTGGCCCCGAACGACGAATAGCAGAGGCATCGAACGGTAAGCGCCATAGTCATGCGAAGTGAATGCTTTTCACCCGACGACACTTTGGCATCGCCACCCCTGATTGACCAAATGTACCTCGGTGGCATGTCATAGTGAAAACCCGTCTCATCCACGTTGTAGACAGCGTCGGAATCGAAGGCGCGGTGAAACTCCTCTGCAAACTCGTCGCGAACCTCGGTCAGTGCAGCACGGGACTTCTTGGTGTGGCCAGCGCGTTGCCGAGTTTACCCATGACGATTGCAGAAGAGTTGGAGCAGACGAAGGAGGCTTTAGTATGACATGCCGGACTCCTTATCGGCAAGGTATAGTCGCAGCCAGTCAGGTTGGAAGCGTTTAATCCAGTTGATAATATGAGTTGTGGTCAATGCACGTTCACGAGCACGCATCTCGGCTATGAACTCGACGAGTCCTGTTGGGTCAGGAAAGGACTCGGAGCGGCCACCAGGGCTGAGTTTCATTCGTTTTTTGTTCCTGGTGTACGCCAGGATATAGTTTCGCTGGTCGGCCCAGGAGCGTATGGTTCGTCGAGGAATTCCCAGTTGAGCCGACACCTTGTAGTCCGACATAGTCTCCAGCAGTGCAATGGCCTCAAGCCTGATGGCCACTTGGTAGACGCGCTTTGGGCCGCGAAGGGTTGAGTTCACTGTCATCAATTTGTCAATGATTGTGGCGAGAATTTTTAAAGGAATCGCGCCGGCGGGAAAATATTATAGCTACCAAATCACATGCCTTCAAATCACAAAAAAATTTGATTGGTTAAAAAAAACAGATGCATGTCAACTTAGTTCGATAGGCGAACCACTCCTTCGTTGACTGTATACATCAGTCAGGCAATACGACGCAGCATGTACCATACTGTATAGTGTATATGTATAGCGACGGATAAATCTATTGCGACTCCTGTAATAACTGATACTTTTCTTGTAATAACTGATATTTACTTATGAATATGTTGACATGAATATACTTCAAATTTGTATGAGGCAATGGATTAACAAAATTTTGACAACGAGCGTCGGCCAGTTGTGAAATATCACCTGTCGCAATACATATACACTACTACGTAGTATACGGTATGCTCCTGTTCAACACCCTATCAACTTCCAGAAATATTGCGCTTTGATTGGATAAATATTTACTTTTTATGTCCAACCACACATTTTAATGACGACATTAACTGTAAGCAGTGTGTGTGAGGTCACACACACTGCTCACTGGGTCCACGGGTATGTAAGTGATCGATCCCCTTGCGCATTCAGTCATCCGATGGTACCGCAAGCAAGGCTCATTCTATACCTAGCCAGTACATATATCTCGACTGTAAGACGAGCTTCACCCGGTCGTTATGCATGTCCTGGTTGAGAGTGCGTAGCTTTACAGGGGGTATTTATCCAAATGATCATTCCTGCAAGCAAATCATTGGAGTGATATCGAAAATATCGCTACGTAGTGACGAACTGACCATCCGTGGAATACAACAGATCCCACAGCTGTGCTAGACATGTCGAATGTTGGACATGGTGTAGGGCAGACACCATGAAGGTGCATCA